CGGCCCTTAAACCCTAAGCCCTCAACCCAAAAAGGCTCACATTAGCCGGTTTAGGGTTTAGGGTTTAGGGTTTAGGGTTTCGGGTTTAGGGTTTAGGGGTGCCCAGCCGAGCTTCGGGTCGTGCAGGTTCCCGACCACCAGCGGGCTGACATTCACCGCTCCCAAAGGCGGCACCGGTCTGGCATTTGCGGGCCAGGTGCCTCAGGAGTATTGAGTCTAAACCCAAAACCCTAAAACCCTAAACCCTAAACCCTCAACCCTAAACCCTGATGTTGGACCTGCTTTACTAAGCTTACCCCCCCCAAACAGTCGAGGCCCCTGAATACAAAAAGACCCCAAACAGTCAGGCAGGGAAGGGGTCAGGAGGGGAACCAGATCTCAAACTAAGAACTTGGACCTCAACAACCATTACTTAAAACAAAAAAGTCCCGGGCCGAAAACTGTTCATTGTAGCGGACCCCAAAACAAAGGGTCGAGATCCCGAATAGCCGAAAAACTTTTCGTAATAGCGTCCCCCTAGAATATTGCGGGTGCAACATTACCCTAAACCCTAAACCCTAAACCCTAAACCCTAAGCCCTAAACCCTAAACCCTAAACCCTACACCCTAATGGGGCTTAGGGTTCATTGCAGCCCAAGGCTTAGGAAGGGCTTAGAATGCGACTCAAAAAAAAGAAGCTGCCTGCCTTCTGACCTCTCCAGAAAGGGTTTAGGGCTTAGGGTTTAGGGTTTAGGATTTAGGCTTTAGGGTTTAGGGTTTAGGATTTAGGGTTTAGGGCTTAGGGTTTAGGGCCGGTAGTTTTGGGGCCAGAAACGAGGCCACAGGGAAAGCTTTACCGAGGGAGACCGAGATGCTGATCGCCACCACCCAACCCAGGGACCAGGGTGTGCCAAGTGGCTGCATTGCTAAGGAGTCCTGCTGGTTGCTCTGATGCCACTTCACTGGGTAGCGATCCAGGCAATCTGCTACCCCTACTTGGAGATTCATGGCACTTATTAGCCAATTATAACTGTACGTATAACCATATTGGAACACTTAAGCAGCTTATACGTGGGTTATAAGGACAGTAGTTATAATTGGTTATTAAGTATCATGAACCAAGTACCCCAAGAACCCCCCCCTCCCCCAACACATGGCCCCAAAGGTCCTTCCACCAGCGAATGACAGCCTCTTCGTTCAATCGTCCAGCGGTGTCTGTTCCCATCACCAAGGCCTGCTGACTAAGCCGGAACCAGTCCTGTCGTATACGCCGCCGCCTCCAGGGGGGCTCACTTGGGCTCAATCCCCCTAAGCTTGGGCTCCAAACAAAAAGTAGACAGGACTCCACCCCTCCAAAGGAAAGCAGACAGGACTCCAGCCCCCCAGCAGCAGAGGTCCTGGTAGAGCTCGAGTTTGTTGAGTTCGAACTCGAGTTGCTCGAATCGGTGGAATTCGAAGTTGAACTAAGAATGACGACGGGCACGATTTGTTGAAGCCAGTCTGGACAGCTGTCTGCCTCCCTGCCGGAGGTATACTTCTCAACACAAGCCAAGACCACACTGGCCAATGGCTCCGGGTACTTGAAGATAGCGAGCTCCGCAAGCTTCATGATAAAAGCCTTGCCCCGCAACCGCAAAGCTCGGCAAAAGGTCACAAGCACCCCTTGAAAAAAAAGCCAAACAACTAGAACAATAAGAAATACTGATAGAAAACTTGGTATTTTCCAACGACGAGCAATCCATCCAGTTGATATGCCCCAACACACATGCATTTCTGGATCTCAGATCATTACTACACCTCGCAGTTTGAAATCATATTCGCTTGGCTTGTACAAGTACTGAAACATAGTCCCGACTGAGACAAGAGATTAATATAGGGGCCTTAATATTAGAATAGGGTTTGGGGGGTTTACTGTGTCGTACAATTCTTTCAGGACCATAAGGGAATACCATCAGTAATGACTCCCTAAACCCTAAACCCGAAACCCCAAACCCCAAACCCTAAACCCTAAACCCTAAACCCTAAACCCCAGACCCTAAACCCTAAACCCTTAGAGTATCCGAGGGGCTGCCCTGGCGGGGTTGCTCGAGTCTTGAATCAGGCGCAACGCCTTGTTTTCCTAGGATGGCCCTTAGCACCCTCTGAAAAAGATTCGGCTTTGGGGTTTAGGGTTTAGGGTTTAGGGTTTGGGGTTTGGGGTTTAGGGTTTAGGGTTAATATGATCTTCTTAAACCCAATTAAGGGGAAAAACAAAATATCCCAAGGGCCTACCTAGTTTCCGACAGTGGTGCCGCAGGGCACAGCTCATCGGCCGTGGTCTCCTCATGGCCGTGGGGTTTAGGGTTTCCTGTAGGGTTTAGGGTTTAGGGTTTTTTGGGCTTAGGGTTTAGGGTTTGTGGGGGGGGGGGGGATGGGGAGAAATCCCCAAATGGACTAGAACAGAGGCAAGCTCTAACAAGCTTGGGTGACTGTCCCCGGAAAAAAGCATATGCTGCTGAGGCTCTTTGTGAACCAAACAACTAAACCCCTAAACCCTAAATCTAACACCTAAACCCGAAAAATCACCCTAAACCCTAAACCCGAAAACCTCTTCCTAAACCCTGTACAAATGGATCCTGAACTTCAGAGCTGACACCTTAAACACCCATCTCTGCAGACCGTCTCTGTGGAGGCCCGAAACCACGACGCGCCACTCCGGGGAACGCTTCCAGTAACTCAAAAAACTGAACCCTAAACCCTAAACCCTAAACCCTAAACCCTAAACCCTAAACCCTAAACCCTAAACCCTAAACCCTAAACCCTAAACCCTAAACCCTAAAGCCTCTGCCTAAACCCTATAGCTCTCCAGGATGGAGAGGTCACAGGCCGAGGTGATGCCGTTCCAGGTCGCCGTGATGCCCCTCGGCGCGAGACGGTTGGGTCATAGGGGTCACAGGGGTGTAGGGGTTTAGGGTTTAGGGTTTAGGGTTTAGGGTTTGGGGTTTAGGGTTTAGGGTTAGGGTTTGGGGTTTAGGGTGTTTTAGGGTTTGGGGCTTAGGGCTTAGGGTTTTCGGGCTGAAAGGGTTTAGGGCTTAGAGTTTAGGTTTAGAGTTTAGGGTAGATAGGGTCATAGGGGTTCTAGGGGTCAAAGGGGCCGTAGGGTTATAGGGTTATAGAGTCATAGAGTTAAAGGGATTATAGGGTTTCCGGGTTATGAAATCATAGGGTCATAGGGGTCAAAGGGGTCAAAGGGTACATAGGGTTATAGGGTTATAGGCAAGTTATAGGCTTCTAGGGTTAGGGCTATAGGAGTTACAGGGTTGCATGGGTTGGGGTTTACGGATGAGGGCTTAGGCTTGATGCCCGGGTTTAGGGCTTCGCGCAGGCGTCTTCTAAGCATCGATTTTGAAGCATCGAGGGTAAGTATTCAGGATCCACCCTAAACCCTAAACCCTAAACCCTAAACCCTAAACCCCTAAACCCTAAACCCTAAACCCTAAACCCTACTAGAGAAGCGCAGCCTGCCTTGCAAAGAGCTCACCCCGCCGCTCGACGTCCGGAAAGGGATCCACCACCTCATTGTCAGTGGCAGCTAGGGTTTCGGGTTTAGGGTTTAGGGTTTAGGGTTTAGGGTTTAGGGTTTAGGGTTTAGGGTTTAGGGTTTAGGGTTTACTGTTTAACGCACATAAGAACCTCTCTACTGACACCAACAAGTGCTTTAGATTAGCAAAAACCAAGAAATCATCCCAACGACATCAGAGCCGCCCCATCCAAGACCAGCCGCTTTGTATTCTCAGGGAAGATCGTTCCATAGGACCCTCCCACTGCTGTACCTTCCCAGAGGGTCCATGTACCGGAAAAAACCAAAATCCCAAAACCGTACTACTAAGACCTTAAACTCCGAAAAACAAACTCAAAAGCCCTTTAACCCTAAACCCTAAACCCTAAACCCTAAATTTAAAAAACACCGCCAACCGCGGAGGTGCCGTAGGACATACCGTAGATCGACATCTTGGCTGCCCCAACAGCACGTCGGAATAGGTCGATGTCTTGGACCAAGTCCTAGTTCGTGGTTGGGATAATCCTAAACCCTAAACCCTAAACCCGGAACCCTAAACCCTAAACCCTAAACCCTAACCCTAAACCCTAAACCCTAAACCCTAAACCCTAAACCCTAAACCCTAAACCCTAAACCCTACAAAAATTGAAGTTTATGTTGCTTGTTGGGTTTAAGTACCCTTAAAAATGTAAAATGGTACCCAACTATGACAAAGAGTCGATGGTCCCGCCAAACTGGAGGGCGTTGTACTCCTCCGTTTGTTGGGGGGTTTAGGTTTGCGGGTTTAGGGTTTAGGGGGTAGTTCTCTCTAAATTGGGGTCCCTTTGAGGGGGGGGGGGGGGGGAGGGCGTTGTACTCCTCCATTTTTGGGGGGTAGTTGTTGGGAGGTTCCATCTTATACTAACATAGTCCTTAGAAGGGATCATAATAGGGAGGGGTACTATATTCCATTGAGGACTGCTAGCATAAGGGAGAACATCCCAAGGTAGTTCTCTATATTAGTTTTTTTTTTTTTTTTTTTTTTTTTTTGGGGGGGGGGGGGGGTTCTTCTGTTAGCGGTGCCGTGCTAGAATGGGAGGACCCAACAAGGGACCCCTAACTTAGTGAGTTACCCATTTCTGATGCGCCACTCTGACTTGGAAGAGTTCTACTTGGAGGTTCATGGGTACTTCTAAGTAGAGTTAGAAGTAAGGCAACTATGGTCATAACCTTACTTAGGGGACTTATAACCCTTCTTGTACGTACCCATGAACCTTCAAGTAACTTCAGTAGGGCAGTCCCATTGTCACCTCAACCTTGCGTCCCCCTCTTCTTTCTTTGGAGTTGTCACTTGTTGGGTTCTTGTCTCAACAAAGGCGCATCCTCAGGAGATGGGGTTTAGGGTTTAGGGCTTAGGGTTGAGGATTTAGGGTTTAGGGTTCAGGGTTTAGGGTTTAGGGAAATCTCGCACATGCCCAGACTAAAGTGGCAACACACGGCCTACCATGTCTGCAGGATTCCAAGTGCACAAGGTTGTATCACCTCAACCCTCAACCACTGTAGGGTTTAGGGTTTAGGGTTTAGGGTTTAGGGTTTAGGGTTCAAAACGTACAGCCCCATCATCCTCCACACTCAAACCCTAAACCTTGGGATGTTCCCCCTAAAACTAACAGTTCTAAATAGGGATTATAGTGACCCACCCCTATTCTAAGCCCTACTGAGGACTGTTAGTATAAGGTGGAACATCCCAACCTAAACCCTAAACCCTAAACCCTAAACCCTAAACCCTAAACCCTAAACCCTAAACCCTAAACCCTAAACCCTAAACCCTAAACCCTAAACCCTAAACCCTAAGCCCTAAACCCTAAACCCTAAACCCTAAACCCTAAACCCTAAACCCTAAACCCTAAACCCTAAACATATCATCACCCCTCCCTTCTCGCTGCCAGGATGCACGACCACTGGGGGACTTCAGCTTGAATCCTTGGACTGCTCCAAGCTGCCAGGGCTTAGCAGGGTTTAGGGTTTAGGGTTTAGGGTTTAGGTCTTAGGGTTTAGGGTTTTAGGGCTTAGGGTTTAGGGTTTAGGGTTTAGGCTTCCAGCATTGTGGACAAGTGCGGCTAAGCGGCTCTTTTCAGAAGAGGCTGATTGTTCATGATTAACAAGACTCCACTGGTGTAGGGCCGTAGGGGCGGCTTCTTTCTTGGTTTGTCTTCTGCACGGGTGGTCGAGAATGTGTGTAAGGACTTTGCCCGAAACCATAAACCCTAAACCGATGGTGCGAAAGCTGCTTGCTTCACCCAAGGATCGTGGGGCGATGTAGCAGAGGCTGTGCTCCAGCTTAATGAGCCGGTAGAACCATCCTTGCGTGTACTTAGGAAGGCGTAATGTTTAGGGTTTAGGGTTTGGGGTTTAGGGTTTAGGGTTTAGGGTTTAGGGTTAGGGTTTAGGGTTTAGGGTTTAGGGTTTAGGGTTTAGGGTTTAGGCTTTGGGCTTTAGGCTTTGGGCTTTGGGCCTTAAGGTTTAGGGTCTCACGGCTTCTCAGGGAAAGAAGAGCAAACACATGTATCCCAAGGCCAAAGCGTCGGACATAGGTCTCGTTATACGCCAGGATGCCTGTGGTGTGCGGCTCTTTGGAGTTTCGCAGAACCCTAAACCCTAAACCCTAAACCCTAAAACCTAAAGCCCTAAATCCTAAGCCTAAACCCAGACGAGCACCAGCGCCCCTTGTAGCCAAGTGCTTAACCAAAGTTGGGAGTTGGGGTCTTCTGCTGCAGGACAAAGCCCGCAGGCTTCAACGTTTTCCTCAGCGATCTCCTCCTCTTAAAAAAACGATATCCGAAACACCGTATGGTGACCCCAGGCCGAAACGCAATGCGTCCAGCTTTGTCAATGCACATTTTTTGCGTATTTGCACATGCGGACGGCCGGGGGACCCTAAACCCTAAACCCTAAACCCTAAACCCTAAACCCTAAACCCTAAACCCTAGGGGGAGCCGCCTGAGTCAGTCTCCGTGAGCCCTCCCACGGCGAGGATGGTATACACATACCTCGGCTCTGATGGCTTCGCCGCTGCGTCGCGGCAGACCCTAAACCCTATATAAACCGCATAAGCCCTATAATGCCCCCTTAAACCCTAAACCCTAAACCCCAAACCCCAAACTCCAAACCCTAAACCCTACAATCCCGAAACCCCAACAGGAGCCAAGTGTCTCCTTCGCCTCCTCGATGTCGCTCTCCGATGCATCGGCACCCAGCATCAGCTGCGCGATCTTGCAGGGAGTCAAGCTCGGACCCCGAGGGAAAACCCTGAACCCTGAACCCTGAACCCTGAACCCTGAACCCTGAACCCTGAACCCTAAACCCTAAACCCTAAACCCTAACCCAAAACCCTAAACCCTATTCTACCCCTAAGAGGTTACCCTAAGGATCTTTAAAGGTCCCCAAACCCAAGGGTGCAACCTTCGGGGCTTCCAAGGTAGAGACATGTGCTCAACCCTAAACCCTAAACCCTAAACCCTAAACCCTAAACCCTAAACCCTAAACCCTAAACCCTAACCCTAAACCCTAAACCCTAAACCCTATGACAACATTGGTAAACACTGTTGCGCTGCTTTGAATAAAAAAGCAAGGTCGAGCTAGAATCACACATTTCGAAAACTTACTCTGCGAACCGAGTTTGTTGGTGGAACCCGCTATTATCACAAGATTTCTTCTTACCGGAAAATGTTTTTCAAGGGTTGGTTAGTAGGGTTTAGGGTTTAGGGTTTGGGGTTTGGGTTTTCAGTCTGAGGCTTCAGGATGCCCCCGCTCCCCCCAGAGGGTTTAGGGTTTAGGGTTTAGGGTTTAGGGTTTAGGGTTTAGGGGGGGGGGGGGGCTAATAATTAAAAGCAGTGCAACATTAAATGCGGAGAAACGTGTGATTCTTCAACTATTATAGACATAGAGAGACACATTTCCCAAACATGTTTCGTTTACGAGAATAAGGGAGCCCTAATATAGACCCCGAAATAATTAGATCCCCTTATAATGAGGACCCCAATGAGGTACCACTAATTTCGGACACCCCCATATCGCAAGGGCCTACCCAGGAAATCATAAGTGTCCACTTCGGGAAGTGAGACTTGTAGTTTGCAGCTGGACCTGTGAACTCGCTGGAAGACTACCATACACCGCACCCCTAAAACCCCGCACCCGTTTTGCCCGATTTAGGGTTTAGGGTTTAGGGACGTTTTGCATCCGGGCTATGATGTCCTGGCCGGAAAGGATCAACAAAACTCGCAGTAGGCCTTTAAATCTTGGGCTCCGAATTATAATAAGAACCCCCCCCCCCCCCGCTCAATGGTGTCCTAGCTAAGGTGAAAAATCCGCACATCTAGCAGTGGGGAGACTAACCCTACACCCTAAACCCTAAACCCCTAAACTGTAAACGCTAAGGTGAAAAATCCGCACATCTAGCAGTGGGAGACTGACCCTACACCCTAAACCCCCTAAACTGCAAACCCTAAACCCTAAACCCTAAACCCTAAACCCTAAACCCTAAACCCTAAACCCTAAACCCTAAACCCCTGCCCCTGTATCTAGCTGGCTGTAAGCAGCCCGTCCTGGTCGAAGCCAAGCCCCGACTTCATCAGCTCGCTGCACTGGAACTCTGGGAAAGGTTGGATTGCCTCCCCCGAAGGATACCTTGCGCAGAGGCTCTTGGGGCTAGGGTTTAGGGTTTAGGGTTGAGGGTTTAGGGTTTTGGGTTTACGTGCTGTGGGGATGTAGGCCTTCTGGCGTACGAGTTGAGAGGGAAGAGGCACAGCCTTCGAGCCACAGACCCTGAACTCAAAGCGAATTCATTGCATCTTCCAAAGAGTCCGAAACTGCGCCTGGTTTGAAGGGGTGTGGAGCGGATAATCCTTTTCGTTTTTGGAACAGAATCAGGGATGAAGGTTAAGGCTGCATGCACCCCCTTGATTTCTACATGAAGAACCGCAAATCCATGCTTTCGGCCTGCATGGGTAAGGATTCAGAGACCCCTAACCCCTGGCAGGATCTAGAAAGTGGTACACAACGATCCCTAAAAATTCTCAAATACTTGGAGAGTCATGGCTACTTACAAGTATAGAGCTATGGGTAGGGTGACCATGGTTAGAAACCTTACTTAGAGGACTGATAACCCTACTTATAAGTATGCATGAACCTTCAAGTCGTGCTGCACAGGGTAGGATTGGGGGGCTCTTTCTCTAACTCCTCCCAGGAATTCTGCACAAGACCATCTCCGTCGAGGTGCTTGAAGGGGCAAGGAGGTACCGTGTCATTCTCCCCAGTGGGGAACATTCCTTGCAGGATGGGGAGGGGGGGGGGAGTTTACGAGAATACGGGTACCCCTTTCATACCCCCAAGTAGAATAGAAGCTCCTTGAAGGGACGCCCTGAAAAGGGCACCCCTGTTCTTGGAAACCCCCCTGTGGGTACGAGATCCCCTCTGCCCCGCTGTCGCCTCGCATGTAAAGACCTACACGACCATCCTAGCACTTCAGACGTTAACGGTCCAACCTTCGTTAGGGTTTAGGGTTTAGGGTTGAGGGTTTAAGGGTAAGGCTTCCGGGCGGTGTACGTTGCAGGGCTTTGTTTCTTCTTCTTGTTCTTATTCTTTGTTGATTTTTTTGGGGGGGATGTTTGATGTTTCCGTTCAAGTCAAGAGGAGGGAGCAGACAATATCAAGGAGAGCCCTAGCCCCCAGGCAGCTCCACCTACACCCTAAACCCTTGGAACCTAGACACTGCTCCGCAACCCTAAACCCTAAACCCCAAGCCAAACGCACCCTTTTTGTGCCTCAAACCCTAAACCCTAAGCCCCAAACCCTTTTTGAACCTGGAGCTGGGAAATAGGCCTGGAAGTGAGACTCAAGCGCTTACACATGCTTGCACCAACAAAGAACACCGCATCTCGATCTAAACCCTAAACCCTAACCCGAAACCCTAAACCCTGAACCCTGAACCCTGAACCCTGAACCCTGAACCCTAAACCCTGAACCCTAAACCCTAACCCCTAAACCCTAAACCCCAAACCCTAAACCCATAGGGCTCCTTGCAAGCCAACTCCTCGCTGGTCAATCGCCCACCAGTCGAAATGGGAGTTGAGATTGCTCGCGTTGCCTTTCACAACCATGCGGTGCGGAACACCCTCGAACACTTTCGGGTTTAGGGTTTATAAAGTTTAGGGTTTAGGGTTTTAGTGTTTAGGGTTAGCGAACCAAGTAACCCACCGAACCCCTATGATTTGAAACCTTCGCTTTGGGTCCGAGAGAGAAAACAGTGGGTTCTGGAGGCCCTTGCGGGAACAATTTCTGCAACTTCTGCGGTCCCCACAGCCCTCAACAACAACCTTCAGACTCCCCCAAAAAAATAGCCCTCGCAAAACCCTTAAAACAGCCCTAAACAAGCCCGATAACAGCTCTTTAACAAGAAAAGTCCTGAAATCAAGATGGTAGCTTTCGGAACGATTTCATCGGGGTCGGCCTCTGCCCGAAGCACCCCGAGACGTGAGCAGTGCTTATATTTTGAGGGCGCCATGCATGTCACCCAACAAAGGGACCCTGATTTAGACAACTGCCCATGTGGATTCCGTGGGTTTTCTTGGCACCTGCGATGCTCTCAGGTGGACCGGCGCACGACTTGCCATGAAATCTTGCAAAGAAGGTTTTTCTGCTTCGTCCCCGCCTCCCTAAACCCTAAACCCTAAACCCTAAACCCTTCAAACCCTTCAAACCCTTCAAACCCTTCAAACCCTTCAAACCCTTCAAACCCTTCAAACCCTAAACCCTTAGGGTTCCCTGCCTCCCCCATCCCGCAAAGCCGAAGGATCGAAAAAGGCTTGACGTGTTGCAATCGCGCCACTGCATTTTCCGTCTATACACGCGCTTGCGTGAAGGCCACGATGATTGGAAGCTAATGGCAACTAATGATGAGACACACACACACATCGCTGCATATGCTGATGTTTGGGTTGTTGTTGTAAATAGGCAAAGGATTTTCGTAGATCAGTTCTGTCCTCTGTACCCTAAACCCTAAACCCTAAACCCTAGAACCTAAACCCATCTAAACCCTAAACCCTAAACCCTAAACCCATGGTAATGCCTCTTGTTACCTGGGCGTCTTCATCCCTGCCAGTCCCCTTGCGCCATTTCTCTGCAAAGACTTTCGGTGGCCACCCAAGCCCACTTTAGGGTTTAGGGTTTAGGGTTTAGGGTTTAGGGTTTAGGGTTTAGGGTTTAGGGTTTAGGGTTTAGGGTCACTGGCGGAAACTACAAGGACACCCGGCCTTCTCCGCGAATGTCGAATCCCTTCTTGGGGAGGCACTCCCTGCCACTTCCTGCGGCCAGAGGTCCCTCCGACGGTTTAGGGTTTAGGGTTTAGGGTGTAGGGTGTAGGGTTTAGGGTTTAGGGTTTAGGGTTTAGGGCTACTATTCTGCTTAAGAACCCCCAGAAATTCAGAGAGAATAATCTCTCTATGACCCTTATAAGGAAGAATGCTATCTTGCTTAAGAACCCCCAAGAAAGAATAAAGAGATAATCATCCCAATGTCACCCTTACATGGAAGAATGCTTATATTTGTTGTTGGGGGGGTTTCTTAAATCCCTATGTTACCCTTATAAGTAAGAATATATACATATATATTATAATCTGTTTAATTGGGGGGGGGGGTTCTTAAGCAACTAGTAGCCTCTGAATGGGCTCATGGATTCTTGTCATGTGCGGCCTGCGCCTGCTCACCTGCTCGTCTTACATCTCCAATAACCCAGGGTGAATAAGTTGAAAATGAATTATTCAGACTAAATAAAAAATTAAATATTCCTACTAAAATCAACTATTCCGACTAGATAAGGAAACCCAGAAAATTCACAGTTCAACTATTGGCTAAGTAGGTAGTGTCCCAAGGCCCCAAGGCCGAATGACTTTTAGATGCGCGCATCTCCAAGCCAGGATCGCTTTGAGGAGTGGGGGCAGCCAACCAACATCATTCCTAAGATCTCCTCGGCACTTGCAGGTGTTTAGGGCTTGGGGATGTTTAGGGGAACCCTAAACCCCAAACCCCAAACCCTAAACCCCAAACCCTAAACCCTAAACCCTAAACCCTAAACCCACCTAAGCGGGCAGTCGAGGCTTTCACGAAGGCCTGGGCCCCCGCAGTGGATCAATAGCGGGCCATGCTTTGCAGGCTGCTGGGTCGCGGGGATGCCACTCACCTAGGGTTTAGGGTTTAGGGTTTAGGGTTTAGGGTTTAGTAGGGTTTAGGGTTTACGGTCTAGGGTTTAGGGCTTACGGTTTAGGGTTTGGGGTTTGGGGTACTAGACCCAAGAGTAACCTAGGAATTAAAAGGGTGCCCTTTCTGGGCTGAAGGGGTTTATAAGGGAACCTGAACCCCTAAAAAAGGGGAATGTACATGTTACAAGACAGTCACATAAAATAGACTGCCATAAGAAGAATAATGATCATGTAAAAGATAGTAGTCGAGGCGCGCGCAGGCACACGTACGGCACAGCTTCGTATGGTGACATGGCAAGGTCATGCACGAGGGGCGTCTTCAACCATCCGCCGTAGCGCTCGTGGCTACCGGACGCTGCGACGGCCTTCTCATCCCAGACCTTTCTTCCGCAAACTGCGTGGCCGAATTTAAGGTTTAGGGTTTAGGGTTTAGGGTTTAGGGTTTAGACTTTGTATGCTAGGAGCGCAGACATGGATTGGGATCTTCCCCCTTATACTAACAGTCCTGAAGAGGTATTAGAATGCACCTACGATGATCCTCATTAAGGACTGTTAGTGTGTAGAGGGGAACATCCCAGTTATATTCTACAACAGACCAAGTTAATAAATTCCACAGTCAGAAATGCCGAGAGAATCCAAGAGGCCAGGATCTCGGGGTTCCTTTGCTGGTCTTGAACCCTAAACCCTAAACCCTAAACCCTAAACCCTAAACCCTAAACCCTAAACCCTAAACCCTAAAGGGTTTAGGGCTTAGGGGAGCTGCACAAGAAGCTTCTGACCCAGCCGGGCCGCGGAAAATAGGCATACAAAACAACACACACACAAAACAAAAAGCAAGCTGTTGAAATGCAGCATGGGTACGGATTCAAGAACGACCATTCACCCTCGGCTTCACTTTGGGAATCCTTCTGGAAACCTCGTAGCTGGCGAGCCTCCTCCCCGAGACTCGGCACCAGTCCTGCACGTTGTGTCTTTGCGTTTAGGGTTTAGGGTTTAGGGTTTAGGGTTTAATTGGTTTAGGGTTTAGTTTGTGTGTGTGGTCGTGGCCCTGGCTAGACTACCAATATGCCCCTCAGGACTCAAGTTGCAGGTTGGGATCCAAGAGGGTTCCTCAAGAAGATTCACTAAAACGACGTTTTGGTCTCACAGAGCATATGTACCCTTGCGTGGTGCTCCCGTCCAGCACAGAGGCTCAGTAGCACACAGGTGAAGCGTGCCATTGGGCTGCACTGAGGCTCTTGGCAACAGGCAGCAGCTCGCTTGTGGAGCCCAAAATCTGTGGAGCGGAGGTGAAGCAACATGAGGCGTGTGGACCAAAGTTGCGAATAAATAAACATGAGTGGTTTCAAGCAAGTTGAGTAGGAAATGTATACATACATATATATATACACCTCAGATATATATATATATATATAAATAATCTCCTTTTACATACAGACATTCTCCAAGTTCCCAAGAAGCCTACGTCGGGTCGAAGTCGTCCGCACAAGTGCGTTTGGGGACAACGAGTTCCCGTTGCCTTTTTCCCAAGCCCGGGTGTTCTTGTGACTTCTTGACCGATAAGCGAAGCGTCCAACGGATCAAGCACTGCAGTCAGCTGGACCATCTGAGTTGCGACCTGGATCCAGAAGTTCAAAGGATGGCAAACCCTAAACCCTGAACCCTGACTGAACCCTAAACCCTAAACCCTAAACCCTAAATCCTAAACCCTAAACCCTAAACCCCAACCCTGTAAGGATTTGAGCTGAGGGTTCAGGGTTTCGACGGGTTTTCTTAGTTCAGGGCTTGGGATGATCCCCTTGAACGAGCAGTCCTTAATAGGGAGTATAGTACCCCCTATCAGGGACTGTTAGTATAAGGGGAACATCCCAATTTAGGGATCTCAAAGATGTGAGCCTTTGGTCCACATGCACAAAACAAATCAACAGACTGTGGCTCATGCACACAGCGTCGGCTTCCGAAACTCGAGGACAGGATTCGGTTTGGGCTTAGGGTGTAGGGTGTAGGGTTTAGGGTTTAGGGTTTAGGGTTTAGGGTTTCGGCTTAGGGTGTAGGGGTGAGCAGGGTTTGGTGGTGGGGACGTGAAAGCAAAGGCCAAAGAAGTGCAAGGGCTCCAAAACAAGATCAAGGGCCCGCAACGCCGCATTAGGGTTTAGGGTTTAGGGTTTAGGGTTTAGGGTTTCAGAATTTAGGGTTCCAAAGTTTTTTGGATTTTAAGGGCTACAGTATTTGCGTCTTAGGGCTTGGACGGTTTTGCATCCGGACGTCATGCTTCTGCCTGGAAAGCTCACGCCCAGCATTTTTCTCTACATTGCTGATGTGTCATATGCTGACTCAAGTGACTCGCCTTCCCATACTCCACCCGACTTCCTTAAATATTTGCCATGCATGGTGGTCCTCTGCACTTAACTGAAGGTGCTCTTCAGCAAAAAAGAAGGATAAGATGACAGCGCGAAGATCCTTCTTCCAATGCCTCTTTGACAATGCTGTTCATATCTCCAGCTAGCCTCTGGCCTTAAAGAGCACCCGCAGGCAAACACAAGAACAGCGCATCCCTAGGCGCCCCAAAGTTTCGCCTCAGAATCCCACACCCTTTTCAGCGAGTCCTCAATACCGCAGGCTACCTAAACACTCTACACCCCAAACACTTCTTAAGCCCTAAACCCTAAACCCTGAACCCTCAACCCTCACCCCCAAGCCAGGCCAAGAAGCAGCATTAAGCCCGCAAGAACGTGCAATGGTATCAGGTGCGGGGAGGCGAGCTTTGATCTTGGATGGAAGGTCCACGTGGATCTTCACCTTTGGGTTTAGGGCTTTAGGGTGCCCTACTAGTGTGTCTGAAGAATCCTACCCAAACCCTAAACCCTAAACCCTAAACCCTCAACCCTAAACCCTAAACCCTAAACCCTAAATCAGGTGCAAGTGTCTTTCATCCCCGGGATGTGGCTTCCCAAGGCACCCCATGGAAACTTCCACCCTCAAAACCATCTATATAAACCCTCAAAACCCTCAAGGGTTTAGGGTTTAGGGTTTAGGGTTTAGGGTTTAAGGTTTAGGGTTTAGGGTTTGGGGTTTAGGGTTTAGGGTTTAGGGTCAAAACCCTCTCTCGAAACCCTCAAGACCCAAACCCTCAAGACCTTGCAAACCCCTCAAAACCCAAACCCCTTTGCTTCCTAAACCCCTAACCCCCTAAACCCTAAACCCTAAACCCTAAACCCTAAACCCAGCTTCCTGCACCCTATAAACGCATCCCAGCAGCAGTGCGACCAGGCGGAGCCCTGAGTTCCAGCAGCAGGGAGCCGCTCAGAAGTCCGCACAACGCCTCCTTCGTTCTCCGAGGCGGCCAGGAACTTCTAGGAAGAGTTTAGGGTTTAGGGTTTAAATTTAGGGTTTAGGGTTTAGGGTTTAGGGTTTAGGGTTTAGGGTTTAGGGTGGTTGAGGTATTTAGGAGAGCGGACCCTACAGATATTTATACATCTATGCGTATATGTAGACAAAAACACACTGCATCCCTATGTGTAGATTGTATAAACTAACCCTAAACCCTAAACCCTAAACCCTAAACCCTAAACCCTATAACCTATAACTAGAGAGAGATAGATGACATGGTATGATCTGCACTTTCTTTTTCCAAGGCATGCCTTTTCATGGAAACTCATGTCCAGTCTGCCCTAAACCCTAAACCCTAAACCCTAAACCCTAAACCCTAAACCCTAAACCCTATAACCTATAACCCTAAACCCTAAACCCTAAACCCTAAACCCTAAACCCTAAACCCTAAACCCTATAACCTATAACCCTAAACCCTAAACCCTAAACCCTAAACCCTAAACCCTAAACCCTATCTGCTGCTGGCAAGCCTGTTTTTTGGGACTGTTGCCGCACCCAGCAGTTGCGGGCTCGCTGGGGTCCGCCCTCCAGCAACCCATCTCCTCTCGCAAGGACATGTTTGGAGTGGGGTTTAGGGTTTAGGGTTTAGGGTTTAGGGTTTAGGGTTTAGGGTTTAGGGTTTAGGGTTTAGGGTTTAGGGTTTAGGGTTTAGGGTTTAGGGTTTAGGGTTTAGGGTTTAGGGTTTAGGCTTGGTTGAGGGTTTAGGCTTTAGGGTTGCGGGCCGGTCGCTTGAAACATAGCTCATCGAAGTAGGGTTTAGGGTTTAGAGGTCAAGGGCATCTGGACGTCTTTCTAAACGTACCGCCTGTGGTGTTTTTTTGGTTGCGCTTGAGAGTTGAGTTTTCTACAACTCTTCATTCCGGAGTTTATTTAGGGTTTAGGGTTCAGGGTTTAGGGTTTAGGGTTTAGGGTTTAGGGTTTAGGGTTTAGGGGTCAGGGTTGAGGAATCCCCCTTCACTCGTGGATTCAGGAGAAAGTTGAGAGTCAACTCAGCTCCTCATTCCTACTTGGGAGCAGCTCGGCATCCAGGATGGCGAGTTGATGTAGCTGGCCATCCACGAAGAGGCATAGCTGCCTGTGTGGCATAAGAACCCCCGCCCCACCCCCCCCCCCCCTACAAAAAAAACAACAACTTCCCTATTAAGGGTAGTAAGGAGATAGTTATGTTTATACAAAAAAACGAAATATTCCTTCCCATGAAGGGCCATAAGTTGATTCATTTTTTTTCATATTTTGTGGGTTCTTATGCCAATCGTTTCTTCTGGCTCTTCAAAGGGGGACCCTCTCGAGTAGCTACAGCTGAACAAGCCATGAGGTGCTTGTGGATCGGGAGCCATGCAGACTTCTTCGCTTGAAGGGCGTCCACCAACTTGTCAACCGAACGTTTTGAGAGCATGGGCCGGCCCATTGCGTGAAAGATCCCCACCTAGACCCGGGAGCAACCTAGGAATAAAAAGGGTGCCCTTTTTGGTTTTTAAGGGGATGTTGAGGGAACCCCAACCCTAAAAAAAGGACAAAAGGGCCTACTCCCGGTCCTAGCCACCAACGCTTCCTCCCAGAACGCCAGCGGCCACGAAGCGTAGCCCCCCAGCGGGACTAGCACACCATGCGGGAACCGCCGCACCGTCTTCCAAAATGGGGCAAGGATCCTTTTACTCCCCTTAGAACCTTAATTAAAGATATTACCTTGAATATAATCCTCTTGGGTTTTATAAGAACAAAAATAAATTCCAAAATAGGGCAAGGATCTGGTCATCGATGATCCGCTTCCAATCTTTCGCAGAGCGCCCGACCCGAGCGACATTGCGCAGTGTTCCTGAAAATGGGGGGAGCCCAGATGGGTAGTTCTCTAAATTCTGGGGTCCCTTTTTTGGGGCCCCCGTATAGCACGGCGCCCTGAAAAAAAAGCACCCAAAAAGCGGGTCCGTAATGCAGAGGACTGCCCGTATCCTGGTTCTTAAGCCTTTTCATGCCCAGGGTTTAGAGAACTTTAATGTTGGTCCTAAAAATTTGCCGGAGTGGCATCCCGTCATACTCCATCCCGGTTTCTTTTGAAGAGTTGGGCTGTATTGCTTGAGATGGATGTTTTGGAAGTCTTAACTTTGATAAACTAAACCCTAAACCCAAAACCCAAAACCCTAAACCCTAAACCCTTTACAGGTTGATTATCGTGAAGTGCCCAAGCTTCTCTGCCCAAAGGCGTTGTCCAGGGTCGGAAAGACCTCACGTCGGAGCACCGCCCGCCGCCCAGCGGGCGGATCGTTGTTTCGCAGGTGCGGTATGCCATACCTTCTTGCCTGTGTGAAAGGCAGTTCAGGGTTTAGGGTTTAGGGTTTAAAGGGTTCTCTAGGGTTTTCCCAGGCATGGCTCGATGGAGGTGGAGGCGGATGTGGCTACAAGTATGGGATGTTTGGAGGCGCAGGGACCTTCGGTGAGCGTTAGAGCGTTTTAAAGCCACATGCCCCGATGTGCATCTTTAAGGGCATGGCAGGTGGGTCCTAAACCCTAAACCCTAAACCCTAAACCCTAAACCCTAAACCCTAAACCCTAAACCCGAAACCCTAAACCCTAAACCCTAAACCCTAAACCCTAAACCCTAAACCCTAAACCCTAAACCCTAAACCCGAACTCTTACATTGCCATGTGGTGGTGTTGTTTTAGGGTTTTCGGACATCGAGTTTCAAGTCGGAATCCTATATGACTCTCCATTTTATCAGGGTCAGGGGGTCGTCTAAGATTCACTTCACACCGGCCAGCTTGTTGATAACACATTGCGCGGAATGTCCGGAGACCGGCTCAAGTGGGGTGCGAGCACAAAGTTCGGGGTGTTGGGAGTGGGCTGTCCCACACCTCGAAGCGATCTAGAAATCCCCAGCGTGACACGTGACACATCATCATAGAAACATTGCGCCCTAAACCCTCAACCCGGATGCAGCTCGGGTCAACTCTTTCATAGCTCATCTGAGTAGCGGCTCCTAGCTGCAGAATCACCAGGTGGTGAAATGGCACCCGATTTCCCCCACGTTTCGTTAGTAATCCGAGACGCTGAAAGAGTCAATCTGAAGACCCATTGCCGGCCTTTTCAGAGTTAGAGAGCTGTCTGTAGGGCCCACCCTACACCCTAGAAACCTAACCCTAAACCCTAAACCCTAAACCCGAAACCCTAAACCCTAAACCCGAAACCCAAAACCCTTATCAACCTAAACCCTAAACCAAGGCACTTCCCGCCAAGTTGCGAAGCGAATGAGGGCTCTTTTCGGCAAGCCGGAAAACCTCTGGGCTTCGGGTTGTGCTTCTTGCAGTGTCTCGGGGCTTTGGGTGTGGAGACCCGAAACGCAAAGCATTCAACCCTAAACCCATACACTCCAGAAACCTAACTCTAAACCCTAAACCCCAAACCCCAAACCCCAAACCCTAAACCCTAAACCCTACACCCAAAATCGTTTTGGGGCTTGGGATTTCCGCGGGGTTAGGCGGGATACGGGATGTGAGCTCGCTTTGTATTGACACTCCTCCCTTCGTCTCCTGAATACGCTGCTTCTCATGTTGCAGGTGCTAAGCTGGACTGTGGTGTTTTCTACGCTAGGGTCTGTGTCTGCAATCTGCAGTTAACCACCGAGGGTCCCTCGAATGCCGAAAGTAAAAGTTAATGTTCGCAGCCCCGCCAAACTCCCCCTGAAGCCCCCAGCTCCAAAACCAGAAGCCCCCTAAACCCTAAACCCTAAAGCCCAAAGCCCAAAGCCCTATAAATCCCTTTGTTGAACCCGCACAGGAATCCCTGGAATCCTCCCCAAGTGCTAAACAAAGCAAACTCCGAAAGTCAAGGGACTAAAGGAGGGACCCTTAGAAGGGACCGTAGGGGTTCTTTAGCGGTCATTTAGGGGCTACTTGGGCATATAGGGACTTTATAAGCAATAAATACAGATATACATATATACATACATACATACATATATATATATATACATATATACATGTATATATATACATATATATATACATATATATATACATATACATATATATATATAAGGGTTATATAGGGGAAGAAGGTTAAGGGTACCTTCTAGGGGGTCCCCCTCATTATACCCTTTAAGAAAGCCCAGATGCGGCCGCCAGACCGTGACGCCCTCTATCAGCGCCTTTGGCTCCCCGAGTCGGGTTTAGGGTTTAGGGTTTAGGGTTTAGGGTTTAGGGTTTAGGGTTTAGGGTTTGGGGTTTAGGGTTTAGGGTTTAGGGTTTAGGGTTTAGGGTTTAGGGTTTAGGTTTAGGGTTTGGGGTTTGGGGTTTGGGGTTTCGGGTTTGGGGTTTAGGGTCGCAGGTTTTGGGTCTTGTCTCCCAAGCAGACCAGCCGCTAGCAAGTCCAGTCATGTAAACAACCTACAGTCCCAGGCATCAGAGCTCAGTCGATCTGGGGGCTTCGTAACCCGACAAGATAAGCCCCTTAAAGTGCCCTAATAGGGTTATAAGTACAGGTGTACCTAAAACCCACCTATGAGCCCCTTAAGTGCCCTAATATGGTTATAAGTACAGGTGTACTTATAACGCACTTATAAGCCCCTTGAGTGCCCCAATATGGTTATAAGTACAGGTGTACATATAACCCACTTCTACGCCCCTTAAGTACCCGAATATGGTCATAAGTAAAGTTATAATTGCTGAATAAGTACCATGAATCTCCATGTAGGGGTACAGGACGTCTCACAGGTTGGCCCTCAGATGATCCCAAAGTATGGTGCCCTTCAGCCCAAGAAGGACAATAAAAAAACTCCCAGGGTTGCAGCTTAAGACCCTTCACGTTGCGCCCTTGGGTTTTGGGGGACCCTCTTTCTCAAGATCCCCAAAGGAATCATGATATTGGGAGTATGTAACAGGGGCACCTTTCAGGGCACAACCTTAGGGGTAGGAGCCTTCATCCCTTGGAGACCAGGTGAGGGACATTTTGGTGGCTCTGCGTGTGGCGGGGCTCAGAAGACACCCACGAGGCCCCTGGTGTCCCCTCAACTTTCCACCGCCTCTTGAAACTTCTACCCTACACCTCGAACAAAGGAACGCACTGCAAAGATTCAAGAAATATTCCGTAAGCCCTAAAACCCTAAACCCTAAACCCTAAACCCTAAACACCCTAAAACATGGGCGCCTCCGGGCCCAGTACAGGGAGGTGGAAAAGGCTGCGGCCCATCCTTGGCGTTTTAGGGTTTAGGGTTTAGGGTTTAGGGTTTAGGATTTAGGGTTTGGGGTTATTTTGTTTCGTGCACTTCTCGATTTGTGCGTTTGTTGTTGGTTTGGGGTTTAGGGTCTAGGGGTCTCAGGGATTAGGGTCTTTAGGGTTTGTTAGGTTTTTGGGGGTTCCGGCTTGGGATCTCACAGAGGCACAAGCCTTGTTTGGGCAGAGGGGCACGCCTTCTTGGCTTCATTGGGATCCTAAACCCTAAACCCTAAACCCAAAGCCCTAAACCCTAAACCCTAAACCCTAAACCCTAAACCCTAAACCCTAAACCCTAAACCCTAAATTTTACCAGCGACCAGGGATCCTTGACCCGAATCCGGCAGCATAGCAAACGCAAAGCAGTTCCCCAGAACATCATCCCGATGGTGCCACACGTAAGAGCAAGACAGAGTTGACTCAGGGTTTAGGGTTTAGGGTTTAGGGTTTAGGGTTTAGGGTTTAGGGTTTAGGGCTTAGGTTCGTTGAATTTTGTTCGTGTTGGGGTTTGCAAGGTGGTAATATACTCCAACTTGCCAGGGCCAGCAGGTGTAAGCCCGAGTTAGCCTTTGCGTCGCGATGTGTGGCCCCGCGTGTCCCCCACACTTTTGCACAGACCCCAAACATGAGCCTCTAACGGCACCTCCCAAAAGCAAACTTGATGTAATGCAAGAATTCGGCTGACAGGCTCACACATGAAATAAACGAATAGACCCTACTATGTTCGACTGGCGCATATCAGATATCGAAAGAACCATGAGGCATCTGTCACACTGGGCCGCGCTCCCAGCAAATGCGGCTCAGCATCAGAAGGTTCGACAGAACATTCTCCGCTGCATCGTCTTCGTGGTGACCGGTCCTCAATCTCTTTCTGGCCAGTCTCAAACCCGGCGAAACCCCAAACGAGGTCATCTTTGCGAGGTATGGCTTCGCAAAGTGTTTTGCTAATGTTGCTACATTTGGTCCATGCTATTCCGAGCCGGTATACTCTAACAAAGAAGAAGCCCATGTAGAAACCGTAACTAAGCGGATAAGGCGACTTACGCTCGGGGGTGTTCGTCCAATTTGCTGCAAGTTGGCACAAGTGTGCGGATGTGGTGGGAGGGGGAAGGGGTAAATTAGACATTATGGGCAGCATGGAGATTCTCAAGGCTTCGGCAAGCCTATCAGTGTTAGCAGAAGGAAATCCTAAACTCTAAACTCTAAACCAAGGTAGAAGAATCCGATGGTTCGGGGAGAGGGGGAGGGGGGAGAGGGAGGGGAGAGGGTTAGATTTGTTTTGTTGGTTTTTTTTTCGCATCTGGCCTCCTCTAGCAATCATAAGCTTGTGTTCCAGGTCTTCGACTCTCACACTCGCTCACAGGTTACAGGGGTTTAGGGTATTGGGATTCAGCAGCAAAAACGCTAGGGGGGGGGGGGGGTTGTACATCCCAGGCGAGCTCAGCACTGTGATATCCCACCGACTTGCCTGAAGGTGGGCCACATCCTCAAATCCGACCAACATCCTCAAAAAGGCTGAATACATAAGCGCCTTCCACGCTGGGGTCGCTGTGAAAAAAGGGGTCTCTGTTTGTTCGTAAACCCCCACATGAGCTGAAGTCACAACCCAAGCATCAGCACGGCCAAAGCCCCGGAAATCCCCACGGCTTCCCGATAAGCGTCGTAGCGCACCTGACATGTCATCTGGAGCATCGCTATGGCAGCTGGCGGGTTCCTCCCTAAACCCTATAGCCCTAAGGCCCTAAGGCCCTAAGGCCCTAAGCCCTAAACCCTAAACCCTCCGAGCTCTGGGGGGTCATGGATGGCCCTTGTTACTGTGGGCTTCTGGGCATGAGTATTCCCGGCGTTGAGGGCTCTGATACAAGACGCCCTGGCAAAACGCACCGTGAACAACATGCGTTTCTAGGCTCAACACAGCCATGCCGGGTGACTAGAGGCATTCATGCCAGAATCATGTTTACCCTTGCGTCTACGATGGCGTTGTTTGCCGGCTTTCCCGCCCTTAGTCTATAAACCCCACGCCCTAAACCCTAAACCCTAAACCCTACACCCAAAGGCGCCTTGCCTTGCGGGAGAAGTCCTCGAACGTGTTGCGGGGCCTGGGCCCTAACGACCCCTCGTGCGTCAGGGGTTTGGGTTTAGGGTTTAGGGTTTAGGGTTTAGGGTTTAGGGTTTAGGGTTCAGGGTTTAGGGTTTAGGGTTTAGGGTTTCGGGTTTAGGGTTTAGGGTGTAGGGTGTAGGGCTTAGGGTAGCCAGCGTCGAGGACAGAAGAAGAACAAGGTGAAACAAACAGCATGCACGGAAGTAAGTAAGAAAGTAAGTAAATGCTTTCTTTGGGGCATCGGTTTGTCAGGGCTTCTTGAACGAGTAGTGGGTTTGCATGAGGGGTTGCACGAGCCACATTCTTATACATATATACCTTATATGATGACATTAGTGTGCCATTGTCTGCCTCTATCTGGTGATGTACGGTCGAACACGAAAACGGTACGCCCTTTGGGACTTCTCTTCAAAAATCCCAACATGCACTACTAAAACAACAACGAAGAGCCCACGAAAACCTAAACCCCCCGCCCCCCAACCCCTCTCTCTCCTGAAACCAAAAACCCTAAAATCTAAACCCCTAAACACCCCCAACTCCTCTTGCCTAAAACCCTAAACCCTACCAAACCCTCTCTCCTAAACCCTAAACCCTAAACCCTAACCCTAAACCCTAAACCCTAAACCCTAAACCCTAAACCCTAAACCCTAAACCCTAAACCCTAAACCCTAAACCCTAAACCCTAAACCCTACACCTAAACCACAACAAACAGTCCCAAGATCAGCCGATGGTCTGAGCCCTCATCTGCTCGGGCAGCCGGACGACCGAAAGCGGCAGGCCCACTTTCCTGCAGGGACTTGCGGAATTGGGTGCTGAAAAGGGGCTGGGGCGCATACGGCTGCATACAGAGGCATCCTATTCTGGGGTTTCGGGCTTCACAGGGGTTTATTTGGCAGCTACAACGGGCCCTGAACTTAACAGAGCAACCCCTCATCATGGCCCGGTGGTCCGCGACCAGGATTCCACGAAGTTGGCTTCCAACGCGCTGTTCGGATGCGCGTTGTAGTCGATGTGAACCGCGGACAACTTGAGCTTGAGGTGATCTCGCAGGGCAACCGCGCAATGACTGAGGACCATAGAATCCACCTGGTGTCTGAGGGGCGCAGTCTAGGGGCGTAGTTTTTGCGCTGGGTATTTTGTGCAGTTGATACGAAAAACGTGCGGGGTTGCAAGGGGATGATGATGGCAACTGCCAAGGTCCCTGTGTTGTAGCAAGGTCAGTGGCTTAAGACTAGTAAAGTAAGCCCAAGTTCTCGAAACCTCATCTATGCGTGTAACAGAAACCAAAACAGAAAAAGAAACCTAAACCCCAAACCCTAAACCCCAAGCCCCAAACCCCAAGCCCCAAAGCCCCAAACCCTAAACCCTAAGCCCTAAACCCCAAACCCTAAACCCTAAACCCTAAACCCAGAAGCCGATCCACTCCTCCCGAGATCGACAGCACCAGCGCGCTTCCCGGCACACATCGGGCCCGCAGGAAGCGCTGCAGCTTCCTGGGATGGCCTTTAAGACCCTTCTTGAAGAAAATATGTAGGGTTTAGGGTTTAGGGCTAGGGTTTAGGGTTTGGGGGTTAGGGTTTAGGGTTTCGGGTTTGGGGTTTAGGGTTTAGGGCTTAGGGTTTAGACCAAAGAAAGGAAGCTGCAACATGTTTTCAAGGGCCTACCCAGCTTCTCGCCCGCATCCTCACTCCCTCCCTGTCGGTTGGATCTTCGGCCTGGAATCGCCATGAATCTAACTTGGCTGCACTCAGGAGTGTAGCTAAAAATTAAAATCTTAGCTGCCTTAATAAGAAACCCAATAAACCCAAAAAAAGCTAAAGATCTAAAGTTACAGTAAAGTACCAAAGCTAAGGGCAGTTTCATGGTCCCTGTATATGGTCACTTCGGTTTAGGGTTTAGGGTTCAGGATTTAAGGCTTTGGGTTTAGGGTTTAGGGCTTCCAAAATATGGTCTCTTTTGGAATCCTTATGACGAGGCGCACCCAAAACAGAAACTGCACCCAAAAAGGCACCATAATTAGAGAACTGACCATGTGGTCCCAGGGTTCCCCACTTCAGGGCCCATATTAAGAGACCATGGAACTACCCTAAGAATGAAGAATAAGAAGAAATAACAAGCACAACGCAACGGGACCATGCAGGTCCGTTGCTTAAGGTAGCAAATCGCTCTCCCTCTTCCTTCCTGCCTTCCTTCCTTCCTTCCCTCCTTCTTGCACATAGAACAAGTCAGTCCCTCTACATACCATCCTATATCCCTCTCTACATCCCCCTCCCTCTCTGTCTCTCTCCCTCTCTCTCTCGCTGGAAGCCATGGCTTGGAAAATTACATCTGCCAGCTCACAGAAAAGGGGTTTCCAAGGAGAAGCTCTGAGGGGTTGTGGATCTTTCTCTAAGCCTTGCGGGTCCTCGGGGCATTCCTTCAAAGCTGCTGTGTACCCTAAACCCTAAACCCTAAAACCTAAACCCTAAACCCTAAACCCCCCCAAAAACTCCCGAGAACTCTTCCGAGTGGCACGGGGCAAGCACTGCTTCGAAGCGCCCGAAGCAATCATCCTAAGATTCAAGGCGGGGGGCCTTCTTTGTCTGTAGTGAACTTGGTTCCCGAGCAACTTTTTTTGATTTTGGCTGCTTCTTAGGAATTATAGTGAACTTGGAACCCGAGCAACTTTTTTTTGATTTTAGCTGTTTCTTAGGAATTATAGTGAACTTGGAACCCGAGCAATTTTTTTTTTGATTTTAGCTGTTTCTTGGGAATTATAGTGAACTTGGAACCCGAGCAACGCTTTTTTTTTGATTTTAGCTGTTTCTTGGGAATTATAGTGAACTTGGAACCCGAGCAACTTTTTTTTTGATTTTAGCTGTTTCTTAGGAATTATAGTGAACTTGGAACCCGAGCAACCGTTGTTTTTGATTTTGGCTGTTTCTTAGGAATTATAGTGAACTTGGAACCCGAGCAACTTTTTTTTTTGATTTTAGCTGTTTCTTAGTTTTAGTGAACTTGGAACCCGAGCAACTTTTTTTTTTATTTTAGCTGTTTCTTAGGAATTATAGTGAACTTGGAACCCGAGCAACTTTTTTTTTGATTTTAGCTGTTTCTTGGGAATTATAGTGAACTTGGAACCCGAGCAACGTTTTTTTTTGATTTTAGCTGTTTCTTAGGAATTATAGTGAACTTGGAACCCGAGCAACTTTTTTTTGATTTTAGCTGTTTCTTAGGAATTATAGTGAACTTGGAACCCGAGCAACTTTTTTTTTTGATTTTAGCTGTTTCTTAGGAATTATAGTGAACTTGGAACCCGAGCAACTCTTTTTTTGATTTTAGCTGTTTCTTAGGAATTATAGTGAACTTGGAACCCGAGCAACTTTTTTTTTTTGATTTTAGCTGTTTCTTAGGAATTATAGTGAACTTGGAACCCGAGCAACTCCTTTTTTGATTTTAGCTGTTTCTTAGTTTTTGTGAACTTGGAACCCGAGCAACTTTTTTTTGATTTTAGCTGTTTCTTAGGAATTATAGTGAACTTGGAACCCTTGCATTGTTTTCTTCATGTTCGCTGCTTCTTCGGGGAATTGCAGTCTCAGTTGCCAAGAATTGGAAATGATTCCCAAGAATCCCTAAGTTGTGCGGTGCACGCTGGTTTCAAGTCGCGCTGTGCAAGCTAGGGTTGGGGCAGGGGGGATGGGTCCTGGGCACACCGTGTTACAAAGAGACGCTGTGAACGTAAGCCACGCCGTTGCATGTGTTCAGCCACTGCTAGGGCAGAGGACGTGCTTGCGGAGAAGACCTCCAGTAACAACCGAAGTATTCCCGTAAGCCTTGAACTCTGCTTCTATTGCACAGTACACCGAGTAGGTGCTTGCGAGATGGTATAGGGCACATTTAAAGACTGCAAAAGGCAACGCGAGAGCTCAACGCGAGAAGTCGAAGAGTGCCTCCACCTGCTGAACGGGACTCCGATTGGACGGGAAGCGTCAAGCCAGATATTCTTTGCCAGCTCAGTTCCTTCCCTGTCTGCTCACCTTGACTTAGGGTTTAGGGTTTTGGGTTTAGGGTTTGGGGTTTGGGGTTTGGGGTTAGGGTTTAGGGTGCACTTCACTGGGTAGTTTGGGCAGTTGATACCTGCATGTGGGGATGACATTTGTTGACTGATTGTTTAGGATCCCATCTGAGCAGGCTTTTGGGTCTCTTTGGGCAGCTTCCTCTGGAAACCACGTCCCGAAAACATAACCCCAAACGGCCATAACTTAAGACTCAATGTCCAAAACCCCCTGCCCCAAAATGCTGCCTCAGCTTGGGGGAACCCTAGCCGCGGTATTGGTCTTCCCCTCTTCCCCTGGCCCCGAAACCCGAAACCTTAAAGTCCCTGAAACCACCTGACCCCTAAACCCTAAACACCCAGGCGAGTGGCGGCCGTCACTTCTCGACCGCAACCTCGTCCTGCATATGATGCTGTTTGGGGGCCTTTTGGAGGTGTAGGTGGTTTAGGGTTTAGGGTTTAGGGTTTCGGGTTTAGGGACATATAGGGTTTGTGCGCCAGAGGGAGCCTTCGAAGTAGCCGGCACTCTGGCAGGTGCGCAAAGGACCAGTTTCGCCATCGCAGGCTGCGCAGGTGCCCAAGAGCAGCCAAGACTCCCATCCAGATCCAAAGTCGAAGGTGGCCAGTTGCATGCCCAACTCGCGCCGCAAACATTCTGACCCTAAACCCTAAACCCTAAACCCTAAACCCTAAATCCTAAACCCTAAACCCTAAACCCTAAACCCTAAACCTAGGGCATTGCGCACCCCTAAGTCCATGCAATGACATGGTGAGCGAGATGTTGGCTGGTACTTCCGGCACCCAGAGTTGCTACTAGGACCCTTGCAGCATTCAAAACGTGATGGCTGGTCTACTGGATACCACATGTGCATAAGATACTTAGTTGCTGAGTTCATAACCCCCCCCCCCCCCAAAAAAAAAAAAAAACACACACTTTCAGTTCTATAGGGAGTTCTATAGGGACTTATACGACCAAGAAGTGTAGAGATTTCTCATTCAGCTACTAGGGCCAGAGAGCCCTATGGTCAACAGGGCTGCTCGGGTTCGATGTGACAGGAGCACTCGAAGACTGTCGAGAACCCTAAACCCTAAACCCTAAACCCTAAATGCACGTGGTGGGAAACACAAAGTGGCTGGACCTCTCAGCCTGCTGGGCTCGAGCCTTCGGCTACTTTCCCATAGATCACTTCCTTGAGTTGCGGTCCCAGCAAGTTGGTCTCCTTAGGGTGTAGGGTTTAGGGTTTAGGGTTCAGGGTTTAGGAGTTAGGGTTTAGGGAACATGGACCTCAGATTTCAAAATGCCCTCCCAAAAAACTGCAAAAGGCCTGCGAATTCGAATCTGCGCTGGACCTGTGGCCCTGTTTTTTGGCTCCTCCCTTGAATGGAATTGTTGTTTGGCGCCTTTTCAACATCGCAGTTCTGCCATGATTTCATTTCCCGATCCGCACGCGAGCTGCGGTTTGAAACAGGCCTCTCCGTACACTCACAAGGGCAATACCATAATATGGGGGCCTTATTGATTAGAATCGGGTTTGGGGGGGGGGGGGGGTTATTATAGTATACTCATAAAGGGACCATAAGATACCATAAGGGAATACTATTAGAAATTCTTACGACCCCTACCATACGGAACCCGCGAGCCTGATGCCTAAACTCCAGCACACCTGCGCCCATCTGATTATTCAGGAACCCTCTTTCTCTTAATGGCAAATTGCACGCACCCTAAACCCTGAACCCTAAAGCCTAAACCCTAATCCCTAAACCCCAAACGGTGGGTTGGTGTCTCCACAAGCACATTTCCGCTCGATGTTGATTCATGAGCCTGCCTTGTTCCTGACATCATGGTGTGAGACGGATGCAGCTGCCCAGTGTGTGGGGAACCGCTGCAGTTCTGTGAAAGACAGGGTGAAAGTTTTGACATTCTTGCTACACAAAGCGCCAACAGGCGTTATCCAAGATATGGCTTTCGTTGACTTCGACTCCCCATAAAGAGCAACTAACTGATATATAGTGCCTGCATGTTCAACCTTGCTTGCAGCTTCATGGGTACTCAGTAGGGTTAGAAGTAGGGTAAGGTTAAAACCTTTATTTAGGGGACTTCTGACCTCACTTAGGAGTACCCGTGAGCCTTCAACTAACCCCAAACCCTAAACCCTAAACCCTAACCCTAAACCCTAAACCCTAAACCCTAAACCCCATGCTCTGTCAAGTAGTCCGCGGTGCCCTTCTCGAAGCTCGGAGATGGCACTCACTAATCTTCATCCTGCGAGCATGGAGCACAACATGAGGGGTTTAGGGTTTAGGGTTTAGGGTTTAGGGTTTAGGGTTTAGGGTTTAGGGTTTAGATTTTAGGGTTTAGGGATAATAAGGGACCTGTAGCATAGACCCCCAAATAGTAGGATTCCCGCATAATAAGGACCCCAATAAGGTACCCCTAATTTCGGAAACACTCGGATGCCCCTCAAGCAGTCCCCAAATCTCTTCGCGCGTTACTTTGCTGTTCTCCAAAGGGCCCTCGTGCAAATGACCTGCGCCAAGCACTTCAAGAACCGTTTTGCCCAAAAGCCTGAACCCTAAACCCTGAACCCTAAAAAAAATCCTTTTGAACCTAAACCCTAAACCCTAAACCCTCAACCCTGAACCCCAAACCCTAAACCCTAAATCCTGCACTCTCACAAAGGCACCTTGAGGGCACGAACCACCATTGCGGGGCATACCCATCTTCAACCGGCACAAGAGGGGCTTAGGGTTTCGGGTTCAGGGATGGTTGCCTGGGAGGAAGCTGAAGCGCAGTGTGAGGGGTTCCCCCCCCCCCCCCCCCCCCCCCGCCTCGCCAAGATAGTGCTTCACGCCCTTGCGATAGAACCTTGGTGACAAGAAACATGTCTGAGAACGCTAAACCCTAAACCCTAAACCCTCTTTTCAGTATAGCATTTAAACCCTATAGTCTTCGTGGGCAATGGTCATTTTTCGTGGGCAATGGTCATTTCTCCGTGGGCAATGGCCACCGTGAAATGGTCACGGGCCTTGGGCTTTAGGATTTAGGCGCTACTGGGGCTTGGGCCGGATTTAGGGCCTAGTGGAGCCACTAGCCTTGGGCTTTTAGGATTTAGGGCCTAGTGGGCCTTGGGCTTCAGGGTTTAGGGCCTAGCTGGGCCTTGGGCTTTACGGTTTAGGGGTAAAAATGTTCGGATGTGGTGGGGTTCTTTGGGCGGGTGGGTGTTGGTCGAGAGAATGGCTGGACTAGACTCTTCACGCTCAGAACTGCTGAACCCTAAACCCTAATTAAACCCTAAACCCTAAACCCTAAACCCTAAACCCTAAACCCTAAACCCCCCCTTTGCACGTGATCGGCTCTAGAATCCTGACTCTCCTCGCGAGGGTGCTTGACCATGCCCCCAGTCAGCAGACGTCACGGAATCTGACACCGAGCTCAATCCCAGCACAGCCAAAAGAGTGCGAACCTATCAAGGTCACTGTGCTTATAACTGTACTTATAACCATATTAGGGCACTTCA